CATGGCTCACGTGGAGATGAAATTGTGTTTGGCCAGAACAGCAAACGACCCGCCAGGTTCCTGTGAAGAAAAATGTGGTTTTGAGCCCTTCTTTAAGTTATATTTTTACAGCAGGAGCACATCTAACTATGCTTTTGTGAGGCATAACTTAGTGCTGGTTTCCTTGCTTTTATCCTTGTAACTTTGCTGTAATTACAGCACCTCTTGGTTGATTACAGATCTTATTTATGAGTCCATCATTTCCCATTGCCAAGTAGAGCAGCTTTCAGGATGTGTGCCCTAAAAATGCTGTTGAAGTAATATTAATTTAAAAGGCAAATTCCTCCTTTTTTTTTCTTTTGTCTGTGTGTGTGTGTGCATGTGTGCTTTCTTGGCTTTTCCTGCAGGTTTGGTGACTGTCCATTTCTCTCCATAGAGAACATCATCACAGCTATCAGCATCTTTAAGTTTTCCTCAGGATAATCTTGGCTACTAAAATTTTGAGAAAAATTTTAGGAAAAGTTTTAGGAAAAATAAATTAATTTGCATGGTAAGCCTTGACTTCAGCCGGCCCAACACATTTGCATCTCATCCACCCACTGGCACATCACACCTGCCAGTGCCACATCTCCACATTTCACAGATTCATGTGTCTAGATTATTTATCCCTGCAGTGCATCCACTTTACTTGGAAGTCTGGATCACAACCATGGCTGTAGGAATCTGGCAGGAGGAGAGCAAGTCCCAGATAGGACTGTGTCCAACAGCAACACCAGTGACTCAAACCCAGTGCTCAACTGCTTCAGCTTCATCAAAGCCTCCATCTTCAGTCATTCAAGACTTACCTGCATTCCTGGATAGTAGGTATGATGCTACTGGATTTGGGTCTGGAGGGAATGCTTCCCAGAGAGCTTAAGCCTTCAACTGATAAATAATTGACTATTAATTTCTTGTGGTCCAGTTTCGTGTGGTAAGGTAGAACATCAGGAAGATAACTGGGACACACATTCTCTTCTTAGTCCTTCATACACAATCAACATGGAACATCCTTTTTCCTGTTAATCCTTTGATGGCCCTGTCTAATCATCCCCCCTCACCTCTCTGACAAACCTACTCAGTGGCAACAAAACATCTTCTTGCTGTTTCTCTTCACCTTGTATGGCAAAAATGAGTCCTAAAATACCTTTCCCCTTAAAATACCTGATGTTCTCTCATGACCATCCTGCTGTACATGAGAGTGCTCTCTGGGAGGGAGGTCAGCGTCCCTCCACATCACCTCCACCCAGTACTGAGTGCCTGTTTAGCATTGCCCTTCCACAAAAAGTGCTTTCTCCCAAACAGCAGGAACTACTCTCCTCTCCAGCTCCTGTCTGTGCTAAGAAACCAGCTCTGACCCGTTTAATGAAGGCAATTTGTTTAAACAGCTCATTGGCCATTACTTTATTTCAACTAAAAAAACTTTAAAGAAAGCAAAGTTTTATTTCACATTTTGTTTCAGTGATCAAAGTTTGAAATGCAGGGAATAAACATTAACAAAGAGCTCAGATATAAATGTCCTGGCTTGTTTTTAATTATAATTTAAATTATAATTTTTTAATAATTTTAAGATTGTACTTTTAATCTCAAGTGCTTTTTAATACGAACTAAAAGCCAGTTAATAAACAGAAGTGGATTTCATAGACATAAATCAGAAATACATTCTGAGCTCCACTTCTAGGTATACAAAGCAGAAAGCTCATGAATGCATTGTATAAGTTGCTTTAATTAAACTCCAGTCCATTAAAAAAAATGCAAGTATGATAAGTGTAAAGGCATGAAAGAATAAGTGCAAAAAAAAAAAAAAAAAAAGAAACTTGCAGGAAATAACATCTATACTCATGAGACTCTGAAATACCTTTGGTGCCAGCCATCTCAATTACTGCAAATACCACTGGTTAATACTGGCAGTGAGCTTTACCAGTGAACGCAGGCAGAGAGCAGCCAGATGCCTTCAAAGACTGATCCAACAAGTGGCCAGTGTGAAGGGAAGGATGCAGAATCTGTCCTTTGATGTGCAGCCTTCTGAAACAGCACGTTGAGACTGGGTGGTCAAACTCCACAGCAGAACAGGATTTTCATTCTCTTCAGCTACTGCATTTTTCAGAATGCTAAACTTATTCTTATTAAAGAAGTTCAGCTTTTCATATTACATTTTTTTCCATTTTGCTTCTGAATTGCAACTGGATTTGACTGTTTAAACCAAGTATATTCTGTATCCTGTAAGGAAAAAGGAGCTACAGTTCTCTGTAAATCAGCTGCAGAGTTGTCAAAGAAAATTGTGTGATACTTCAGCTTGTTAGTGCTCCATCGCTGAATTGTTGGGGTTTTTACTCTAAAAAAACCCAGGAAGTTTTAAATACTGCAGGCTTTTGTGGTTTTTTTTTTCTTCTCTGGTAATAACACATTTTAAATGTTACAAACATTATTTTGTTTATCTTTTAAAACTTAGACTTATTTTTTCAACTATATGCATAGATTTACGCTCTAGGTAAAGTCTACCCTGGTTTTCACCAAACATATTTAGCAAAATAGAGCAGTAAGATACAGTATAAACAACATGTACCATAAAAGTACCATATTGGTAATTTCAGGTGCTGTTTATTTCACAAATCAAGTATTATTTGATATGCTAAATTTATCTTGTCCTTTGAAAGATTTTCTGTGTAACCTGAAAACTCAGTGCAATGCATAATTTGAACTGATTTATGACATCTTCATTCAGAGAAAGACTCTTTGGCACACATCATTCCAGGTTTGGAGAAGCTGTCAGTATCCTGTAGTCTAGCTTCTTGCTAACAGTGGCAGCAAACAAGACTAAAATGGCTGTATCAGTGTAAATAGCTGGATTTACATCTTCCAGAAGACTGCTCGCCTCCATTAAACAGCTTCAGCTGATGGAGATCAGCTCCCTTCTTCCCAGGGAGAAGTCATTCTCACAGGTTCAGAAACGCCCTTTGAACATGAATGGTTTAACTTCATTCAGATAACAAGAGGAAAGCAAATAAATACCTTTTGTTAGAGAAGCTGCTTATGAGATTCTGCACTGCCCCTCACCATAAGGCAGTCAGTCTCCCAGGCCCTGGCTCATCTCTGTGCCCCTTTTCTCTCAGTTTCCTTCTCCTCATCCCTGCTGTGAGCATTCAAACAGAACTTTAACTTCCCATTCCCTGCTCGGGTACTTGGTGGTTACAGCACCCAGAGAGGTCACAGCCTCTTTGCCTGCAAGGATCATCTGGGAATTCCGAGTCTGTTTTTTCTGGTGCAGCTGCCCTGGAACACACAAAGTGCTACAGTCTCAATCTACCACTGATGAGTTTCACTGCCAATGTTTTGATTATTGCTTCGTATCTCACACTTCTTTGATAATTTACCTATTTTTAAGCCCACAGTATTGTTATAACTTCAAAATTATTTTATTTTTTGTAGAACAGTTACCACAAAAGGAAATTTGTTTCAGAGCTTCCTAAAAAGGGGGAATAGCACTAAAAATTAAAAATCAGTATTTTAAGAAGGTGGCAGCATGGGCAGTCTGGAAATACACATTCTACATAATCTAAAGGAGGTCTTTAGAGGTCATGAAAGAAAAGATGCTGTAAACATTAGGATGAAAGAACTAGTTCAAGTTCCTCACTGTGTTCATGTGCACAATTCCCAGCATTGTTCTGTCTCAGTTTCTCACATAGGAGAAATAAAAACATTGCAATACTTACTAACTCACACAGCCCTACTAAAAGATACTTGTGTTTTACGTGCAAAAATACTACAGTAGTGGGTAGAGCAACAAACATGCCACATGTAGTTACTGAGAAATATCCACTCAGAAGCTCTTACTATACAACAGCATATTTTATTACTAACAAATACAGTAAAAACTACTGAACATGTGTATGAAGTTACCTGGTTACAAACAGAACTAAAAAAATGAAGGGTATTTAGTGCACCTTTTCACAGGAGGTTTTTCATATCTTTCTTACTGTCCACTCAGTAGCAAGAATTCTGTGTACTTTTAATGGGAAAATTCTAAAAGGAAGAGCATATCCCATTGATGACAATAAATTACAAATGCTAAAATGCAGATACTGTAATATAAAGGTAAAGAAATTTCATTTTTAATGCATGATGGATAAAACAAATAACTTTGGTTTATCAGAACCGTAGTTCCTGTTGTTCCAGCACTTACATGTCCTTTGTACCACGCAATTTTCATTGTTCAATGCATCACCATGAATGCTGTCCCAGCTCACAGTAAATTCTCTGCCTAATACCATAACATTGAGACATATTCTTATTAGTGGTCAAATGCAAGATGCTGGACAGTTTTACAAAATGCACTGACATTTAGGTTTAGAAAACAGCAAAATCTGTCTCGAAGTTATCTCAAGTAACAAATCCCATTGGGTCTTAAAAAAACATTGACTCAAAGTCAGACAACGAAATTGTTATCCACATCAGCAGTATTTGCTCCTGAGAACCACCTAGCATAGGAAAGGCTATATGTATTAAGGCCTTTTTGATTTAGAGAAAATATATTGCTGTAGCATAATAAAAAATTAGGCTTTGTAGAAAATTAGGCTTTGGAGGAAAAGTACTAAGGCTGTCTTCTCTGTAAATAGATTGTTAAAGAAGCCTGCATGTTCATAACTCACCAGTTATTTGCAGCAGTTATCTGCAAGATATTTCTTTATAGCATTTTTAAAAAAATGAAGTTACTCACATAGAAACAGCACGAGATGAGCTGTCACTGCAGCTCAGGACAAAAGCCCCAGGCCTGCATGTCAGGCTGTGCCCACTGAGCCCAGGAGTCTGAGGTGTCCCTTTGTCACCATGCCCTGGATCACCAGGCCAGGAGAGGCTCCAAGAGGCATCTTTCTGAGACAGTGCTGCACCTTCTGCAGCAGGGCCTGCCTCACCCCAAACATCAGTGCATGGTATGGGTAAAGGTCCAGCCTGCTTTTCTCAGAGCTGTTGAGCTGCTCTCATGTTGGCTGACCACCAGGGGAATGCTGGCTTCAGCAACACCCTAAGGAGGGCACAGGAACTTTCCCAAGTTTGTACAATACATACAAAACAGTAGTTCTAAAGATTGACCTTATGCAGTCACTTATTTACAAAATTAATTTTTATGTACAAAATAAACTGCTATAATTTCAGATTCCCTTTCATATTCAGTGTACAAGCTACCATAAACCAGTGCTATAATTGATACAGCATGATGTACAATTTAGAGTGTTTAGAAATTTGTGCATCACTTACTTAAGTGATACTGTTGTTTAAGAACAGTAAAAAAAAGAAAAAATTAACAAGCTTTGAAAAATATTGAAGAGGCTGATGGAATTTTATACCTTGAGAAGTAACAGTGCTTTTGAAGCATTATTTTAATGCAATTCATTACGAAGTGTTCTTTATATAGGGAATAATATTTGTCTCTCATCTTTTTCTTACATTATTGCCATGTCCTACAGAACTTCAATTTCCATTAGTCCTGGACAGGATTAAATACAGTACATTATTGCTAGCTGTCCCCACAACAAAACATAGATTTTTAAGTGCAAAGCAGGATATATGTGTTTTTTAATAAGGCACAGAATATCCATTATTTCCAGTGTAACAAAGAACTCATGTCAGTTTTATACAATGCAAATGTTCATATAAATTTTCAGTCTTATGCAATAAAAATGTTGATACATATTTTCAATCTTTCAAGGATTGGAACTGTTTCCTGAATCCAACTCTCTTCTGGTGTCTGAAGCTGAGTAGACGAGTAGTGATATGGAAGGTGACTGTGGGACATCAGGTATTTGGGAACAGCTCCTTTGCAGTGAAGGAGATTCACTAAAATCATTTTTAGGAGTTATTCTGTAAGTAAAGAAAAATAAGAGACAGTAAATTTTAAGCACAGTTTAATTTCCATTACACTAGAAAAAAAATTGAGTAGTGAAATCATAATATATATTCAGCTGTAAGAATGCAGTACAGTTCTGTACACTTTTCCAAGCCTACAGTCATCACTGTTCTTTTTCAGACTCATCACCTCTCAAAGTGATTGCAGTGCAGACACAGGTTTCTTGAGGGTCACTGTTCAGCAAGGCAAGAATATCCTACAAGCTGAAGCTCCAGCACACAATGCTTAAAAGAAAAAGAAGAACCCTACAAAAATACAAAACAGCCCAGAGGCTAAACACACATGGCCACAGTCTGCAAGTTCTCTTGACAGCTACTGAAGGTCAGGTGCATCCTGAGAGTCCCCTGATTCTTCAGAGAGAAGAAACAGAACACTTACAGAAACAGTGGTAATATGTAGAAACAAAGACAATACTGAGTTCAGGAGCCTTACCTTCCTTCACCTACTCTCTTAACACTCTCAGCCAAAGTGCCCATGTGGCAGGTACTGTCTGCTTTGTTCCTCCTTTCCAGCTGATCCACGGTCAGTTTAGCGCTGGGGAACATCTGATCTCCGCTGGTTTCACCTTCCTCCACTCTTCTGGCAGATGCTCCATCTGCCTCCATCTCCTTCTCAGATGTCTCTGGAGAGCTTTTAATTTCTGCCACAGTTTCTTGGCTCAAGTAATCATGATTAGTGATTGCTACTGCAGAAGTTCCATGATTTGTTGTGCCACCTGTACTGGTCCCCATTGACTTTGAAATGACTTTCAGTCTGTGTGAAGTTGACTTGTAGTGCTTCTTTTTATGTTTAACTTTGGAATTGTGCCGCAAGAAAAATTCACATGATTCTTGCAGCACCCTTCGACTCTCGCTGATTGGACTGGAAGAGAGTACAAACACATCACTGAACAAAGAGGATAATGTTAGCTATAATATAATAAAGAGTAGCACACAAAACCTTGAAAGAATAGAAACCAGTGATGCAATCTGAGCTGGGTGTTAATGAACAAAGGGAAACAAATTGTATGTGAAAAGAGGAGGAAAAATCATAATGGCTCCAAAGTAACTGTCTGTGGAACAAATAAATAAAGCACATTTCTATATTTCTTACTTCTGCAAATAGGTCCAATGTCTACAGTGAATTAATGATCTACTAGAGAGAAAAGAAGAATTAGCTCATAAGCAGTTGCATTACCAACTTTGTATAGAGTCAACCTCCTCCAAATGAAAAAATATTAGCATTGTAAAAATAACTTCATTATTTTTAAATTCTTGTAGCTAAAAGCAATTAACATCTGAAACACAAGCAAAAATTATACAGGAAATGGAAAAAGAGGGGAGAGGGAAAGGAAGCTATAGATTCACCATTGAGCAATGGAGATGTAAAATAAAAAGAGCTTAGAGACTACTGCCTTGGGAAAACCAAATAAACAAAATTATCTAAAGCCACACTATCATTTAAAAGTAACAGATAATCTGAAAAGAAATAATTAAGACATAAAAAAGAATTGAAAAAAGCAACAACTATAAGAAATGGAGACAAAATTTATAAGCTATTTAAATCCACAGATATAAATTTGGTTAAATTAGGTAATGAAACGGAATTCTTCTGTTTAATTAAAAAAAAAAAAAGGAACACTAGATTAATGCAATAAAAGTGGTAGTAAGGAGGGTTCAATGAATATTAATTTCAAAAGAAGACAAGCCTGGCAGAGGAGAACAGAGAATATTATTACTGCATGACAGTAAACGTAGTACTAAGTACTGTGTCAAATGAAGTGGTCACAACACATGAAAAGAACTAAACTGATGGCTGAAATTATCTTTCCTCCCTTGACTGTGAACCAGATCTGTATTAGCCAACACACCTTCTGCTCTACAAAAGAGAAATCAGCAGAGGAAAATATTTTCTGTCTTCTTGAGACTGTTGTTAAAGGGTCACTGGGTATTTAAAACTTCCCCAGATTCCAGTGGAATTCTGCTGATGCCCAAAGCAGCATTTATAGTCTGAGGACAACATTTTGATTATCTGAGCTATATATAAAAATACATGTCTGAAAGGCAAATTTAAGTATACGCTTTAAAAAACAGAGAAAAAAAAAATCTTACTCTCTTTTGCGGTTTCTGTTGAAGAAATTGGCCCATTCGGAGCAGGTCTTTTTACTTCCCACCCAGAACACTGGAGATATGCCAACAATTAATGTCAGCAAATATTTCATCAGAAACAAAAATATTTCTGGTCTTGCTAGTGCCTTTGCCTAGAAGATAAAAAAATTTAATAAATGCAAAGAAGAAAATATACTCATTGATTTATTTTTTTAAATGAAGAAAACAAATACATTTCTTAAACGAGAGACTTTCTCCTTATGACTGTTGCTCTTTGTTGAGGCTTGTACTGTGGACAAACATCAGACATGTACAGACAAGTCAGATGTGTTCAGCTGAATATACACACAGAAGAGATCTGCCAGAAGGAATTGTTTTTCTTTTAAATTGAAAGGAAAGGTAATTTGGGGAGTAATAGTATTAGTAAAAATATTCTCCAGAGGCAAGCGTGAAAGATTTATCCCTTCAACTTAAAAGAAACAATAAGTGGATCACAGAATGGTTTGGGTTGGAAGGGACCTCAAAGATCATCAACTTCCACCCCAGCTGCCACAGGCAGGAACACTCCCACTGGACCAGGCTGATCAAAGCCCCATTCCAGCCTGGCCTTGAACGCTTCAGGGATGAGGCATCCATAACTTCTCTGGCAAACCTGTTTCAGTGCCTCTCCACCTTCAAAGTAAAGGATTTCTTCCTAATATCTTCCTAATCTAAACTTACTCTCTTTTCAGTTCAAAGCTGTTCCCCCGTGTCCTGTCACTACATGCCCTTGCAAAAAGTCTCTCTTCCTCTTTCTTGTAGGCTCCCTTCAGGTACTGGAAGGATTAGTTGGGAGTTAATCTGATTAGACAGCATCTTCAAGGAGCTGCAGGGAACTACACAGTAGTTGTTTATTGCAAAATTAATCCACCTATTTGCAGAGCTGTATCATAGGAGCTGAGACATTTAAGCCAGTGAGAGATCATTATCTTCAGCTGTCATGCTGCAAGTTTAATTTATGCCACTTGTCTTATCTGCTAGACCCATCTATGAAAGCCACTATGTTTGTTAGCCAGGTAACATAAGCTACTTCAGTTTTTATTTGGTTTTCATCTGGCAAATGTAACAAAAGTCTACAAGCCAGCTCAGATAAGCCAAGGCCAAGCACACCACTTTGAGCTATTCCACAATTAGCACACACTGTCTATCATAGGGACAGATCCCACAAAGTAGATCTTTTTGCAATATTTAATGTTTATATTTCTTCCTTCCAATGGGTTAATTAAAGGCTAAAAATACATGCTCTGTGTTATTATGCCAAGCTGTCCTATTTAAGCACCACAAAACAAATTTATTGATTATTTTTAAAGCATAAAAGTCTTGTTTTCAAACTTGTATATTCTGGAGCATTTAGGTTTATACAGAGCTCAGAATAAAACCCACTGAAGTCAAAATACACTTGTTAAGAAACAGCATTGGAAGCCAAAATAACCAAGTAGTCTGTGAGCTGTGCTACTCTCAGCCTACACTGACTTCAATCCAGAGGATACTAAATGGTGTTTAAGAATGAAAAAGGTCAATCCTGATCATTCCATAATGCCTCTATTTCTATTCCTCGTTTTTAATGATAGTTTATTCCAGCAAAAAAAACAGATAGGAAGTGTAATGCAATGAAAGATGACACAAGACACTTGCATTTTTAGTGATGCTGTCTTCTTATGTATTTGTTCTTAAATGGAAAGAAATAATACTTGTCAGTATACAAAACTCCCTGCAACTTCAGCAGATTTAATCTACTGAACATGGGCAGATTTAATTTAAAAGTCTTTCCAAAGAAGTTGGATTTTAAGAGGCAAATATTAAACACAACCACCTCCACAATTTTAGTTGAAGCTTTTTTCTTTATTTGCCTTTTTTTTTTTTTTTTTAATAAAGAATTCTTTGCATTTCTGAAAATCAGCCTGCAAACTACAGCTATTGCGGAAAAAACATATGGGAAATTTGTTCTACAATTCCACATGGTTTACACTTCTATACTTTAAAGAAAAAAAAAGTGATTCTAAATCTGTGGTTATAAGCAGCATTTAAAATCCAATTTAGTCTAAATTTTTAAGAATCCTTATTTCAGCTTCAACTAAAATTGATGAAAATTCAACTTATGTACTTTGATACTGAGCTTGGCAATGAAGTACTAAGCAAATGCTTTCAGAAACAAATATTGTGAAGAACAACCCTCCTCCATCACAATTTCTAACACGAAGTTCAAAGAACATAAAAAGCTATATATTCCGTTAGAGCTGCAAGTTGAATTTAATTGCTGAATGCTACCAATTAGATTAAAATTTTCAAAGCAAAAATAATATTTCATTGTTTTTTTGACTTAAAGAGGAACTAATCACTCCATGTTTTTGAACTGATTACTCACTGCATGGCAGATATGCATAAGGGTTTTTGCTAATTCCTTTATAAAGGAATCACAGAATCACAGAAATTCAAGGCTGGAAGAGACCTATAAGATCATCAAGTCCAACCCATATTCTACCTATTCAACTAGATCATGGCAGCAAGTGCCACATCCAGTCTTTTTTTGAACTCCTCGAGGGATGATGACTCCACCACCTCACTGGGTAGATGACTCCAGTATCTGACCACTCTTTCTGTAAAAAACTTCCTTTTTAATTCTAACTTGCATCTCCCTTGACGCAGCTTGAGACTGTGTCCTCTTGTTCTGTCTGTTGTTGCCCGGAGAAAGAGACCGACCCCCAACTCACCACAGCCACCCTTCAGGGAGTTGTAGAGAGTGATGAGGAAAATGGTACTTGCCTGATAAGGACAAGGAATATGGTACTGGTCACAGTGGTCAAACACCCAAGTGGTTTCCCAGATTTTCCGATTCACCAGCTCATAAACGTAACATCCAAGAAGGGCTACAAGAGGCACCAAGTACAGCCCGCTGAAAACCCCAATGCGGATCATGAACTTCTTGAGCTTCTCCTGGTTCCTGCCGTCGTGCTGAATGACCTGCCGCACGTGGTTCAGAGAGATGATGCCGGCTAGAAGGAGAGAGAGACCGAAAAACACACAGAGGCACAGCGGCAAAAGCACGAAGTACAGCGAGGCGTCCAGGTCGTAGAGACCCACAAAACAAACTCCACTGATATTGTCCCCTTCCACTTTGTTCATTGCAAGGAGCATAATGGTTAGAAAACCAGGTATTCCCCAGGCAACTGCATGGAACCACATGGCCTTCTGTGCAATAGCTTCACAGCTCCATTTTCTTCCCGCCGCAAGGAACCAAGTGATGGTCAGAATCACCCACCATATAGTTCCTGCCATGGTGAAAAAGTACAGAACCATGAAAAGGACGGTACAGGCTTTGTTTTGGGAGCCAAGAACAACCGTTTCACCAATTTCTAACTTCTCATCTGCCTCATTACAGGCAGTTCTGTTCCCAAGTAAAAATCCAATAAAGTACATTAGAGAGACTATGCTGTAACAGACAGAATAATAGATGATTGGTCTCTCTGGGTATCTAAACCGTTTAACATCAATCAGAAAAGTTAGGAACGTGAACAGTGTAGCACAAAGACAAAAGATTGAAACTATTCCAATAAAACTTTTTGCCACATCCAATTCATAATTCTTGAAGTACATATTGGGACATGGGGGTGCACACTGATCAATTCCTAGAAACTTGTAGCCTTGTCCATTGGTAGTGTGTAGGTGTCGGGGACACCAGAATCCATAATCCCTTCGGATCTGGCTTGGGGTCTTCTGAGTTCCATGTACATTTGTGGTTACAGCAGCAGTGGCAGGAGCAGCCTCATCACAATTGATTAACCTGAATAAGTAAACAGAAGAGGAAATATCTCAATAGCCCTCATTCTCAACTAGAATTGATGCCTTAGGTTTTAGCTTTTATATTTTTCAGACTCTGTACTGCTTTAGTGTGTAGTTCTGAGCTTCATATTATGAGATGGTAAGCTCTCTTCACAGAGCAGCTAAACAAAAACAATTCCCTTCCTAGCTTGGAACCAAAGACAACTACCCAAATTTCAGGCCCAAGAGCATAAACAACGTGGACTGAAGAGAGAAAAACAAGAAGGATGAGACTTCATGACCTAAATCTAAAATCGGACAGTTAACTCCAATATACTAATGGACCAGAACTTATAAAAGTGAGAAACCTCGTGAACAGTTGTGCATTTTGTGACCATTTTGGGTTCATCTTGGGTGTAGCCCTGGCTGGGCTCTTGTGCTGCCCAAGGTGGATCTTGAGGCCTTCTAATAAATACCTGCTTTATTCTTTAACTCTGTCTAGCCTCTGTTCTAGGTCAGCCTTGATAAGGCATCAGAATCACTTCTTATAAATATGAGAAAAATCTGATCCTAAGCACTATTAAATTTTATAGATGATGCAAATGTGAAATGATGTGAAAAAAAATCAGATGACATTATAAAATCCAAACTTCAACTATCTTAATTTCAGAAGATTTCAATTGCATTTAACTGTTGCTCTCTAGCTGTTGCTTTATAATTTATTAAACACTATTCAAATTGCAATCATTCTACACTTTAAAATTATTATTATGTAAAATTTTACATATGTACATAAAATATTTACAGTATATATTTTAAAAAAAATTTTGATAACTTTGTGACAGCAAAAAGTCTTGTGAAAATTCAAGCTTTCAATTAAGGAAGAAGACAGACATCATATTTGATGACTAGTACATGATTATTAGAATTTTTTGTGTTGTACTGCTATTTCATTACCAACAACAAACAACCTAACTGAAAAAAAAAACCTGAGTAGAAAATGCAAGCACTGACAAAATTATTAGTATTGTCACAATTTTCTAGCACTGTGCTGTTAATTTAAAAACTGCTCCAGGGTTTAACTGGACACAGGATGTGATCTTTTTATAATACCACCATATTAGTAGTGCTGGATGTATCTTCAAATAAGATTATATAGCTCAAGCAGGTAAGCATTTACTCAAAATGGGACTGATGGTCACATGCATTCCAAGTTTAAGTGTACGTTCAAAGGAACAAGTTTTGCATTCTAGCTTTTAAATTGAAATTCTGTTACATTGACATTCTTTGTCAAACACTATTACAAGGGCCTCTCAATTCAGTATCCAAGCTCAGCTCCAGCTAAAAACTCCTTCAAGTTCTGTGTTTTACTGCCTATCATGCTGTCCAACTAAATCCAGACTCATTGTTAAGAAAATTGATTCTATGGCAGATTCTCTCATTAACCACAGGCTGGAGCAGTGCATGTGGAAAAAGAGTGAACTTGATTCACTCATTGTCCTAATCAGCTCCATGTTCATCTGTAAGAATACAGAAGTGTGGACTCCAGTATTCCAGTTACATGTTCACACCAGCTCCTCTTCCATGGGCTGCAGAAGCAGGATCTCTGCTGCTCTAACAACATCCTGGACTTCTCAGAACATGGACTTTTCAGTATTGGCTACCAGGGAGGTATCACTTCACATATGAACAGGAAAGGTTCATTTTCAGTAAATGATAACAGTATTAAAATAATTTGAAGTTGCATTGAATCCTGCAAAAAACATAATTTTATTTAAAATGTCATTTTAAAGATACATTGAATAATTGGATTCACTTGTAATTGTCATACTTTTTGAAAACAATCCTTGAAGATATCTGCTGGCTGAGGGGCACTATTGTCACATAGAACCCCACAAATATGGGAGAAGTTAATGCCTTCTTGTCTTGAAACTCCACAACTTCTATTTTTCTGCAGAACTATGGGAAATGGCATTAATGTTACTTGTCATATTGACTCCAGTACTGATTTCTACCAGAAGTCATCCACAGGACAACTGTCCCAGCTCTCCCTCAGCCCCACCACAGATTAGCAACTGCTAAAAATTGAGTTTCCAGTCCCTGCTCCTTTCCTGCACCTCTTGACTGGATGTGTGCTAACAAACAAAAAAATCTGGCCTTAATAATTTATAAATATCCACAGTTGGAGGTCATAATCTCAAAAAGACTGCATTGGAGTGTTTCCAGTGGTTGCCATTTAAAATATATAGACACCTTTTCCCCAAATGAAGTATTAATTGTCCTCTATCATGTGAACACCTTTGAGGAAAAGGTGACACTTCAAAAAAGGGAGTTTTGGCAGGCAGTACAGGTAAAGCAACACAAGACTAGGCTGGCATATTTAAACAGTTGGGAGCAACGGAAGGTTCCTACCATGCAGTGTTCTGGGTCTGTTGAAATACAGAATATTCTACATTCCATTATCTTATGAGCAGTTACTTCTAAAACCCCTAATAAAGTAAGCATGATCAACCAAAGCAAAATCTCTGCTGTAACATTTAATATTTTAAACTTTCAGAAATATACAGTGAAAAAGCTACCTCTTGCCAGGATGTGATTATTGAAAAGAACTGCCACAGAGCTTTGTTGCAAAAACTGTCACAGGCAGAAAATGCAGGTGATAATCTGAATAACAAAAAAGTTTTAATAAAGAAATGGACCCGTGCACAAGCACTGCAGGGTCAGCATACTAAGGAAATTACTGCGAGGTGATATTTAACAGTCTGCCTCAGATTTTCAACTCAGTCTGTGTGAAACATGAAAATACCACTCCCACCACCTGTCAATATGAAAAATACCTGCTACATTCCAGCTCTTCAGGCCATGCAATTCCAAAAGTGTCCATCAACTGCTTACAGTCAGAATACACTTTCTCACAGAGGCTTCGGCAGGGGTGAATCACGTGAATCTGATCTAGGCAGGCTGGGACAAAGGCTCTGCACAGAAATGTGTGGACGTCTGGTGAACAGTGAAGATTCATAAGAATAAGGAAAGGCTACAGGGAAGAAAAAGGCTTTGGTTAGCAATTTTAAAAAGATAATTCAAAGCATCAAAACTAACTTTCATCACTAGGGCTTACATTTAATCCTATGTAGGTTTTGAAAAATTACTAGAAAATAGTGTTTGTTCAGCAGTTCTGAAAAAGCAAAACCCACTGCCTTGAGTGGCAAGAGGCTCTGTTGGCACTTCCAGCCCAGCCCTTGTCCCAGGATCTTGCACAAGAATCTTTGGATTTGGCTATCCAAACTTCATTTTTCCTATGTGACAACTTTAGAAATCTGAAAGGTATTATGAATGCCCAAGATACTTATAAATAAAGTAAAATATTGAGTTTCTTTGTACACCAGTCAGCTTCTAAACAAATGCCCTGAGGCTTTCCAAGGTGTGTCTGTTCCTGTAGTTCCTGTTAGATTACATTTTCAGTCCTAAGTGGTGTGATATACTCATCTCTCAGGCTAATTAAATTTAGGGCTTTTTTTTTTTTTGTTAATGAGGTCTAAACATTATTTCTCATTTTTAAATGTCTCATTTAAAATCTCTCTCAACATGACTGAGAATTTCTTTGCCTGGATTACCAAGTACCAGGCAGTGAGTAACTGATGACTGTTCTTACTAAAGAATTCATAGAATCAAGTTTAACTTTTTCTGCTCAATGCATTCAATTGCTTATTCACAGTCAGACAGGCTTTCAAGTAAAAAAACCCCAGCCTTCTGTTCTACAGTTTCTCAGCTTTATTGTTAGGGCAAATTATTTTGCCCAAAATACTACTGTATGTGCAAATGTTATGTCTGATGTTAAACAGGGACAGTGCATGCAATTTTCAAAGTAGGCCAAGCTTTTAGTAAGATTTTTGTTTAGTAAGAATTTTACTTAATTATTTGCCATCAATATTTATGTCTTTCAAATATTCAACCAATGGCTATAAAAGGAAAGATTAGATTGATTCCAGAACAGTATCCTTATTTTTTCTAGCTTTTAAGCATCACATATCTATCTATCTATCTATCTATCTATCTATCTATCTATCTATCTATCTATCTCTCCTTACTCAAGAAGCAAGTCTTGCTACTGAGCATGCAGTTTAAAAGAAAAGACATTGCTAAATAAAATTCCCTTACAAAATGGAACACCTACAAGTCCTTAAAGGGCCTTGGTAATAAATACAGGAATGTATGGGGAGGAAGGAAGAAGATAAGGCAGAGCAAGAATAACACACAAGTGCTTCATGACAAACCAAAAAATGCTGGCAGTACCCTTCAGAGCACTCCAGCTGTGTGCTGCATCTGCACAAGCCATTACAACAGGCACACATTAGTTTGACCCCCTCTCTGAATATCTCCTCTTGAGCTGCCTTTGCTGGAACCCAAGATTTGAGTATTTCATGACAAGGACAGAAGTGCAGTTCTGGTATATTGTGCTCCAGTTCCATAAATTGGATTATTTCCTAAAGTCTGCATCGCTTCAGATGAAAAAAGTACTCAGGAGTTTACCTTAAATGAATTAAATTCCCTTTGCATAATTATGATGCTTCTTTTCTTCTCAATTCTTAATTTGTATTTGCTCTGTTCTTCCCGGAACTTAGGATAAACAACATAGCCTGGGTAGTCATATTCAATTGTTACAGAAATTGAGTTTATTTTTGACATTGTCTTGCAGAATTTGTCTTGATTGTTCTGAATTCTTCCTTTTTGTCACTCACACTTCATCTCATTCAATAAGAAGTAAAATTCATTTTCTAGATTTCTAAATTTTGGACTACCAGCCAAAAACTTTTTCATCAATCTTATCTAGAAAAGTAAAGATTTTTTAAAATATCAGTATTTATATCAATGAAACTGAGTTTACCTACAGTGATATTTCACCAACTATTTTTATAAGCAACTTGACAGTTTCTAAATGGCATTTTCCAATACAGATAATAGGCTAACATATTTCAAGCCTGCTCCTTTGATACAGAAAATGAGCATGAAGAAAACATCCAGAGAAGAAAGTCAGGACATAAAACCAACCTCTACCACTCTAACAGAGTTTCTGTCATATGAAGCTACCTAAAAGCTAAAAATCACAACATGTATAATGATATTGTATATTAGAGGCAGATAATGAATGACAAGACAAGCAAGAATAAAATGTTTGCATTTGCATAAAGAGTTTTACTAAAGCATGTTGTCATTGTCTAAACACTCATTTAAAGAGTATATTTTATTTAAATCAAAAACCACCCTAACAGATAAATTTAAAAATTTTTAGGAAGAATGCCATGTTTAGCCTATAATGTAATCAGAGCAGTATTCCAAGGACTTGGCTGCCAAGAGTAACTGTCCTTACAATATTTCTTTTATTTCTTTCAGCTTGCTAAAAGCATTTACCTTCTGAACTTGAAAACATGAGCACAAGAGCGAGAAGTTTGATGTTCTGAAAACACAAGCTGACCTCCTGGACACCTCATTTTCCCCTGGCTGGTAGCAAGGGGGCTGTAATAAGACAAGCTGACATCTCTTCCAGTTTCCTACTAGCAAGGGTTTAGGAAATATGCTGCACATTGCAACACAGCCACTGTGTTGAGAAGAGTGACAAACCTTTCTTCCTAAAATGCATCTTCTCCCTTTTTCAATCATTTATGTTTGAACCCTTTGTAAAATACTACAGCAATAAGTTGTCCTGCATAATTTAAACAGACATTGGTAAGAAAATACTGCATTTTATCCGTTTATTGCAACTCCTGGTTTTGCAGCCTAATGTGTGTTTTGACAAACAGGTAACAGATTGCACTATACTTTTTCCTTTCCATTTTGTCTTCCTGCTATAATTTTTATAATATATTTGTATATTAGTATAGTAAAGCTTTAAATTTTGATTTCTGCTCCTTTTCATAGTATAATTTGTCTTCTATTTGCCTTGACTAAATTTGAAGACTGACATCACATGTCCAGTGACAACAAAGACTTTCTGAGCGACAGTAACTGGTAAAATACTGTGCCCACCCACTAGTACAGACAGTGGCTGTTACTCTTCCCCCATATTTATTACTCTGGGGGTTATTTTCCCCCAAACTTATTCTGCATTTCCCTACCCTAAATCACACCTGTCATTTTATTGTCCAGTTGCTTCTAGAACATGATCTCTCTGCAATTCTTTCATCCCATTTTGTTTTCTCAGCAAATTCAGTACCTATCCCTCTTCTAGATCCATTTATGAATTAGTTTCTTATCAGAGGTTTCAGTGCAAGCAACTAAGGAGAACCACTCCAGTGATTTATTTGGTATAGCATGAAAGTATCAGCTCAGAATTTAATACCTCTTATTGGGAAAAAACCATTTATCTATTTATTTATACCTACTTTTCTTCTTGTTCTTTAGGCAGGCATTAGAAAAAAAAGTCTACAATGGGTTACCAGCACAGTTTCTTAAAATAATATAGGCTGTGACCATGTTTTTGGAAACTGAAGTATATATAATCTAATTATCCCTTTCAACAGAATCATGGAGTCCCTCAAAAAACTAATAGATTTTACAGTCAATGAGTTTTCTCAACTAAAAAAAAACCCTCTATAAAACGTAAAACTTTGCCTTAAGCACACACAAATGGGATTTGAAAAATACAGATATATTTTCAACAACTGCCTACTTTTACCATTTAAGAACATCAGAAGTGTTAGTGAATTGTGCCTGGAACTCTGCTAAAATGAAGTATCTTTAAGTGTGGGCTTCACTTCCAGCTAGCCAAAATGGAAAAGTCTGCTCATAGAAAATAGTATGTCTGCGTTTCCTGATGGACCATAAAAGCAAATCTTACCAAAACCAAAGTATTTGCTCCTCCAGCTTCACAGTCTGGAAGCACAAAGTAAAGCCAAGATCACAAGCTCACTGACAGTAAAATTCAGCTCCTTCAAGGACACTTTATCTGAACTGTGGATGTCCCAACCACAAACCACATTTTACCCACGTGGTCAGCTGGGTAAATTGCATGCATGCACATGCTGGCGTCCTAAACATGAAAGTCTGGGATTAAACTCACAATCTTATACCATAATCCTCCCCTCTTCAGGAAGTTCAAGGTCTGCATGTGGCACAAACAAACAAAATTCGCTCTTCCAGGAAACCAAGGCACTTGGCATTTTAAGCATTAGCAACCACTGCCCTGTCATATGAAGAAGAGATGAAAATCTGCACACTGGGTGATGAGAATGCTAAAAATAGAGTGAAACTACACTCTTGAAAAAACAGAAAGGGAGCCTCACACAGTCAGTGTATGTTCTAAAATATAAATTCCCATCTTCTTGACAATGGGAAAAAACTCAGTAAATGTAAGACAAACTAGAATACAGTAACAATCTTTTAAAAAAACAACAACAACAAAACCCAAACCAACAATCTAATAGCAGCTGTAAAGTCAAAGATGATGTAGCCTGTAACAGCAAGAGGGGCATGCCTCAAGCACTATCAGTGAAGAACCAAGGACTGTGGGATGCAAACTTTCCACTAACAAACATGAACATCTTATGAAGTCCTAGGGTCCTTACAAGGTGTGTCTATGTTATATTATCTCCAGCAGCAAAGACAAGCTACCTCAGAAATCCAGTTATGGTGTGGTTCTGCAAACAGTAACACCACAGAGACAAGTGAAGACAAATGGTTCAAAGCACAGAAAAAATGTCTAAGTGCAAACATGTCCTTAAATGAGCTTTGCCAACAAGTAAATTGCAACCTAGAACTATATATGGATCCTGTGCTCACCATGCTTCTCTGTTTTGTGCTTAGCAGGCTTACAAATGCAAGACACAGGAGAAACAAGTTCATTATTCCATGCAAACATTTCAAAGGCTCTGTTGTACCTCACCTCAGTCTGGTCCTAAAGAGAAGCATTACCAGAGATGATCAGTCTCTGGGGTTCTGATGCATGATAACTACCAGCATATACCAAAACAAGTAAGTGAAAATACTCTCCTGTACTCTGCTGATTAGTGTCACAAAGACACTTTCATAATATAGAAA